TAAGTGCCCAAAGACGTCCATGTGAATGAATTGTGCACATGAATGTTCCAGCAATTTTTCGCTGTGTAATAATAACCTACAACGCGGCATCAGTTTTCTGCAAATTCAAAAATGATCCGAAGGGTGTCCAGTAATTTTCTATACACTAAAATAAAGCTTATGTAATTCTACATCTTTTTATTATAATATCTAAGTGCCCAAAGACGTCCATGTTAATGAATTGTGCGCATATAAAAAAAATCTTTTTATATCATATCTTATGAATTAATTATTTTTCTGTATTTAGCTATTGACGTAAATATTGAAAATTTGTTGATATTTTATGAGATTGTTGTTTGTCAATTTTGTGTATAATATTTTTTTTTTATATATATTATTGCTGTATAATATTAATGTATATTTTTATTATATTTAAATTGTGTATTATTACCCACTTTATATTGTGTATTCTTTGTTTAGCATTGTATGTCTTTTTTTGAAATGCCCTCTAGTGGTGTTAATTTAAAATGAAAATTTTTATATAATCCATGATTTTGATCTTTATTTAGAATTTTCGTTTAATAATTTCACTTTATGTTCACCGCTCCTAGTAGTGGAATATAGTAACTAATATTTGGTAACTATGTCGTTACCGCATTTTTAAATTGATAAGAAATTGCTGGCTAGAAATTGCTCACTTCACGCACGTACCCTTTTCCTTAATTTTTGAACCCTTGTATATTCTAAACAAATATATTTACTAGTTATTATATGTACTAATGTTTGTTTATTTTTTAGATGCTATGTCTGGCTAAATCATAATACCTGAACACGAAATAACATTTAACAAAATAATAGATAATATTTTTAAGCATTCTGGCAATAATAAAGCATCACACCAATAAAATCCTATTATGTTGTTGTTATTCAATTACATTTCATTTTTTTTGTAAATTATTTTTTAAATTTATTTACTTAGATTGTTTCACAGTTTTTTTAGTAATAAGTTAAAACAAAATATAGCATTTTAGGAATCAAAATAAATACAGTAAAAAAAAAAACATGGCAATCTTATGCCATCTTATTGGATACTACTTATGTGTATTATTCCTTCTGTTGTACTTCTGGCAATGATTTTCTTTTATTCCATTACATGGAAATTAAATTAAAATTACTAATTGTTTTTATAACCACAGTAATATTTTTTTGTTATATCAACTATTGCAATTTCACAATTTTCTGTACCAATATTAACTATATATTCCTTGTCTAAATTCTATAACACCTTAGTGATTAACTTATTATGATAAAATATTTTTATTGGATTTTTTTGATAAATATTGTACAACAATAAATCAAACTGAGTTACAGTAAATAAATTGCTGACATTGCTAACATCATTATTTTTATTTAAAATTATCTATTGTTATTAATTCATTTTAATTATAATCAAATTGTTTAAATGGTTTGTTTACTAATTATCATTTAATATAAAATAAAATAAACCTAAATTTCGAAGGTTAACTATTTTACTTTATACATACATATAATATATTTTATAAAGATAATACATTGTGTATATAGTAGTTCAATATATTATTTTTAAATTAAAAAATTTTTGAATATTTACAAAACCTATAAATTTTATTTTAAATACCGTAACTGCTAATGAACGCTTAGTAAACCGTCGTAGAGCACGCTTTTATTGAACCGATGAACGATTATTGAATTGTTAACGAGCGTTTTATAGCTGAACCGAGGAACGGTCTTTGAACTTTTGTAGAACATAGTTCACCCCATGTTAAAATCCGTATTCAAATCTCATTTTGAACCGTGCTATGAACGGGTTTTGAACTGAGTTCAGCACCGTTGTTACTATATTAAAGGAACCGGTATGAACTCGAATTGCTACTCGGGTTGTCTATGGAGAGAACCTCTTGAAATTTTACTCGAAATTAATATCATTTATTCGTTTGATAAAAATTATCAATTAATTTTAATGATTTTGAGTACGTTTCTATTACATTAAATACATATATAACTTATAATCAAATTTTCAAATAGGTATGAGTAAAGAAATATGCGTAAGATGTTTTATTTTATTTTTTAATCGTTCAATTATTATTTTTTTAAATTATAATTAAGTACCTAATTTACTACTTTAAAATACACCTATTTATGCATTTAAAATAAAATATTAATATTTTAAAATTTATATACAATATACCATCAAACCCAGTTTAAACGTTGACTTAACATTTAAACTATAAAAAACAATTTATTCAAATATGAAATATCCTCCAAATTAAGATGCTCTAGAATAAATTTAAAAAGATAAAATAAATAATTCCTTAATATGGTATTATTTTATTATTATATTATTCTAGTATTTTTCTAATTTAAAAAAAATGCAAAATATTAATTGCCAGAGCGCGGTTCGTGAACCTGATATTCTAATCGTGAAAGACACTAGTGTTATCGATTCGGCAACTGTTCGTCGCATTTATCGATTAATAAAATTGGCAATTTAAGCAAATTCAAATTTTAAGGTTACTTTTTTTACTTTAAAAAAGCAAAGATAAGTTAAACTTCTTATGACTTATGAACTTTATTCTACGCCAATTAAATTATATAATATTCATGAATGTCATTGTATTTCCCTTGTAAGATATTTTAAAATAAAAATAGCATATTTTTGAATACGGAAGCTATTTTTACCAAGAAGAAAATCTATATTTCTATTTTTTTTGTCATAATATAGTATATAATATAAGCTTTAATTTAAGATAAAATAAAAGTGTTAATATTTCCGGAACATTTTTAAAAATTGAAAAAACTTAACTTATGTGCAAAAATTGTTTTTTTTTTTTTAATTCCCCCTGCAGGCAGGTTTAGAGTCAGATTTTCAAAGAAATTATATCAAATGAAAGAAAAATATCTAAGGTTTCAATATAAAAAAAAAAATTTTAATTTGTTCATTTTTCAAAAAGTTATGGCAGTTTTATATATTAAAATATTTCATGTGATATTTCAAACAGTGATTTTTACATAAAAATTATAAATTTCGTTAAATTAGACGGCCATTTTCCTATAGAAGAAAAGGTTTTTTTTTTTTTTTTGAACTTATAGTATTTATTATATATTACTTTTTATACGTGTGATTTAAGTTTTGAAAGCCCCCTGTATAAAGGAAAACTGTCCAATTTCAATAAAAAGTATATTAAATGAAAGAAGTATATATAATGTATTTAGAAAAAAAAATTGTGTTGATGCATACATTATTCAAAAAGTTATTGCTACTTAAAATCGAAAATTTTAACACAAAAATAGTATTTTTATAATTACGGCAGCCGTTTGCATGTAGAAGATAAGGTGTCGGGACAAATTTTTTGTTTTCATTTTATAGTACATGACATAAGCTTTAATTTGATATGCGTTTAAAGGATGCAGTATTTCCGGAACATTTTCAAAAGTCAAGTTGAAAAAGCTAGATTTGTAAAAAAGGTGCTATTTTAAGCCCCCCCCCCGGTCAGAGCAGATTAAGTGTTAGATTTTCAAAAAAATGATATCGAATGAAAGGTAAATATCTAAGGTTTCAATGAAAGTTAAATAGAAAGTTGTTTTGTTAATTTTTAAAAAAGTTATGGTAGTTTTAAGAAAAAAAATGACAAAAATTACCGATTTGAAAAATTGTAATTTTTTTGGAAATTTCCCCCATTTACGGGTAACGAGGGAAATTTTTTCAATTTTTAAGGGTAATGTCTTCACCTAGATACGATTAGTGATCTTTTGACATATGGTTCATCAAAATTGGTCCAGTAAGATCTGAGAAAAAGTGGCAACGGACACAAAAAAGAACATATGGTAAATTTAATACCATCTCAACTTCGCATCGAAGCTAAAATAAGTAATACGTAAGATACTACAAATGTACAAAATCAAAGATGTAGCATTGAACAAGTAAGCCAAATGATGGGGATCCCATACCTTAAAATTTTTTCGTTAAAGGATAAAACAAAACAAAAACGATAACTAATAAGGAACTCGTTAAATTTGGACTTCACGATATCATAAGCTGGTCTTATGAACAGGATTTTAATTGAAAGATGTCAATAATAGTAATATCTAATTTAAAGGCATTCTCAAGATTAAAATTTAGGACAGACCCCGTTTTAATAATTATAATTTAGACCTGAAGTTTTGGGGGCCCCAAAATCTAATGACTGTCCAGTCATTAGAGCATTTTGATGTTTTTGTTTGTCATTATTTAAGAATTACACATTTTATGAGTCCACTTAACACTGGCTTTGAAAACAGTAGTGCTTACACGATGAGCACACAACTGTTTATATTCAGGTCTCTACTGGCCCATAATGGATATTAAATAAAACTTAGATCACCTGGGCAAAGAAAATTAAATCACTCTAGCTGCACTAGTGTGGACCTAGCCCCACCATTCGAAATTTTCTTTAAGTACGACCTTCAAAAGCCCCCCAACATTTTACTTCAATGGCCACGGATGAACTTGGCTATGAGGATAATTGCCCCTTGATAATGTTCTCTGTAATTAACAGTTGGTAAAATTTACTTTTATTGACTAATATTATAAATATTATCTCCAAATATTATTTGGATGGTGATGAGCCGCCACAATTAATGTGCCCCCCCCCCGCCCAATAGCTACCCAGTCCATTTTAAGTTTCCGGTTAATCAAGTACGTTGCCGCAAAATACATCGTAGCGCAACAGTTGTTGTTATTGCAGCGTGCATGAAATCAGTCACGTCGCCACATGCTACTGTTCATCATTAAATTGTTTATTTTTAGTTCCGACGCGCAACATTAATGCAGCGACTGCGAGATTGCAGTGGGACATTTATCAGTATGACGTATCGTTTTATCATTGGTCGGTATTCCTCCGCAAATAATCGCTATGGCATTCCGAACACGTCACGCTAAATCCCCTCCACTACAAACACCGTTCGTGGCTACACGCTCCCACTCCTTGGTTTACGTCGTGTACAGAAATCGAGAATTGAGATAACAGTGTATGGCCGCAGTGTGGTGTTTCAGTGCTCAGAGTTCCCGCCAGTCCTAGTTCCGATCAACCCCGCCCAACGTCGTACAGCTTACGTGAAATGCGTGCGTCGTCGCCGTTGGCGCTAACCAGCATGTTTCCCGTAACCGTCTAGACAAAGTTCGTCCATAGTTTCGCCAAAAAAATATAAGTTCTAAAAATAGTGAAAATTTCGCAAGTGATATCAGGTCGACCTTCTTGGAAATCGATCTCTTGTTACTCGGACGTGTGATACGGCGGACGTTCTCGATCGCAGGTTATACGTTGATAGCTAAGATATCGTGTCTCTTCGCATATTGTGTCGAAATTAAAAGAAAAGTTTAATTGTAAACACTTACATTTTCGGTTCGCATTATATGTAAAGTCGATGTGTGCTGACCTAATATTCGTTTGATTTCAATCGCCTCAATAGCACTTACTTGGCTCTAACGTATCAAATATGTATGTATTGTATTGTGCAACTAGTTTTAATTTTTATGTTAAAACTTGTTTTTAATTATGTGATATGTTAAATATATTTTAATAAAAAATTTCATGAATTATTGTAACAGAATAAGTGAAATCGTTTATCTATTTTGCGATATTTTGATGACTAATCAGGTCAGTTTTACAAGTAAACGTTACTAATAATAATATAATTACTTTATCCCTTGTTTGACATTGATATGAATGGTTTTTATACTTAACAAGTTTATTTAGGTCAATAATTACCAAAGTTTATTTTTATTTGATATTCATTTTTTAAATAATTTGATTTCTTTTAATAATGATAATGAAAATTTGTCTAGTGTATTTAATGTATGATGATCTAAATTATTTTCTATAAATAGTATAGTAACTATTTTCTAGGATGCATAGTCAGATCATGTTATAAGTCTGTAATTATTTATAAAATTAAATAATGTAATTTCATGGGTACCAAATCTACTGATTATTTAAAAGCCATCAATATAACATATAATTTTATAAGATAAAAATGAAGTATATCTAAATTCTTTATTGAAAAATGTTTAAACTTAAGTTTCTCTTCAATACCATATCATACCGTTATAATGTTAGTGTAAGAACTAATAATATAATATAGAAAATAATAAATTTAATTTTGAGAAAATTGTTCAAAAATTATTAACTGTTTAAAATTAACTCAAGAACAAAAAAAAAAAAAATTCATTGCACTAAAATTAAAATTGTAATTACTTCTTAAGAATTTAATGCTGTTAATATTAGATAGACAAAATTGTTATGTCTTTTGTTTTTTTCCTTCAATAACTTAAATACAATCTATTACTTTAAGCATAATGAACATTTTTATTATTAAGAAATGAAATGCATGGCTATTTTTGATTAAAAAAAAAAAAGACACTCATTGGTTACTTGGGCTAATATCATTTTATTTTATTTTAAATTTTATCACCAAAACAAATTATTGATAAATATAGCTTTTTGCCATAGGGTATGTTGGCACTCGAGTTGTGGGCTCTTGGAAAATAATAAACATGTTACATTAAATTTAATTAACTTAGGATTAAATGATCTTTTCTAGCTTTTTTTTTTTTAGGGGCATCAAAATCACAAAAAAGAGCACGGCATATTCTTTAATGACCCAGTCCTTAGGTACTAGGTTAAATTTAAATAATAATTTTTTTCTTAGTATAAAATGTTCTATCTGAATTGTTGAGTATTCAAAAGTTGTGTTGTATTATGTGAATATAAAAATTTTTTGAAAAACTAATTGTTATTAACTATCTTAGTTTATTATTACATTATAATAATTTAATATCAATATAAATTTGGTCATAGAAATCACATTTCCTATCTGACTCTAAATTTTGCAGTGAAATGAAAGACGCACAGTTCATGAGTTCCAAGATATGTTCAGAATATAATTTCCTTGGGCGTCCTCTTGGTTTCTTTCCATTTATTTTTCTGATAATTAAAGCCCTTTAATAATTGACAGGAGTTGGAACCTTTTAAAAAGGAGCTTATAAAAACTGGTTAAAAAGCCATTTCTAATGAAGATCCTAACAAAAAGATCAAATTATTTATTTTAAGTATCGAAACATTATTAAAAACAATTATCATTTATATAATTTATAATCTATGTACCATATTTTATTATCAAAATAATATTTGTGGTAGAAATCATAATTGTGTATGATAAATGAGCTGTTTTATATTGTAACCCACTGATTATATGAAAAATTAATAAGTAATAAAAAATTATATAATTATAATACTATATTCATGAGTTAGAGAGATGTTGTGAAAGAATATTCTCTAGAGAATTTTCTCAGTAATGGGAATATTCTATAGATAATTATGAAAGAATATAGTATTAATAAAAAAAAAATAGAACTAAATAATTTCTTTATAAATATTTAATCAAACTTGAAAATTATTGGAAGTAATGAATATTTATTGAAAAATTATGATTGATAATGATCATTTTTACTTGATTGATAGTCACTTGATATCAAAAATATCAAACAAATTAAAAAAAAACATTTTAGTTTTTTTATGTTTAATTTGTTGTTCAAATGCCAAAAATAATAATTCCTAAAAATTGTTATAGTGAAAATGTAAGCAAAAACACCCAGCCAAAAAAAATCCATATAATTACCTTTAATTGGGCTTAGTTTAAATGTTAAGTATAAATTTGGTTACTTCTAAATATAATTCTAAAATATTTGTAAACTCGAAAGAATAAAATTGGATAATAATTTAAATTTTATTAGAAAAACTTTTATTCTAAATCTCAAACTTCATCTGATTGAATTATTTAAAGCTAAATAGATAAATTTGAAGATGATCAATTTTTAGTTGTTGACCAATTCAGAACTATTTTGCAATAATGTAAAATATAATAAAAACCAGCAAAAAAGAATATTCTAATTTTTTGATAGTAATTTTACATCAATATTTTTAGGGATATTTATGTATATTATAAATAACTAAAAAATTATTTGATATTTATAATTATTTTTATTAGTTAATAGTCTATTAAAATAGTGAAAGTTGATTAATTTGTAAGGTACTTTTTTAACAAGGGGTCATTTTTAAGACCATTTTATAAGTGTTTAAAATAAAAAATGTAAAACTTTCAAAAAAAAGAGGATGAAAAATAACAATTAAGAATAACTAATTATTTTTAACTAACACCGGTTCTAAAATGGAATCCTTTAAAAAAAAGTACTCTAATAGAACCTGATCCTCATAATGTTTTATTTTTGGAGCCTTTTTAAGACTAGTTCCTAAAAATATCAAATATTCTAATTCCAGATAATAACTATTTAACAATTCTTGAGGGGTGATAAACTTCAGTTCTCTAGTAATCTAAATATATATTTAAGCATATATGTTTGGGATTTATAAAAATGTATAAAAATCCTATTGTTTTACGAACAAAGTTAATATATTAAAAATTGTTTCTGATTTAACTACTTTTTAAAACAATTTTGTCCATAAAAAACAAAACTTTATTCAGAAAAAAAATGTTGAAGAACTCACTAGCATTTATACAATTTGGCTAACTTATTTTTATAACTTTGAAAATATTAAATATGTTCCTTTGCATTATTCTCCATTAATCCTATTTGTATAATTTAATTTAGTTGCTTTGTAGACTCTAACATCCAATTCAAATTCTTATGGGTTAAATTAAAAATGGTTGTGATGTTTTTAAAAAAGATATTCAGAAAATAACTTTTTCACTGGAAATATTTATATGCACTTTACAATTTTTATAGTTGTAGATTTTCCTTTAGTGTTTGAGTATCTGCTACAAGGTTACTTTGAATTTTATTTATTTAAAATTAAAACTATAAAATACTTAACTAAAAAAGCCACAAAAAGATTACTAACAAATTGTAGATACATTTTTAATAGTCCTAATTTAAATGATTGTATTACTTGATTAAATTACTTATATAATATCTTGCATGTATATGTTTATATTTAGTATTTAAATAATCTCTATAATTGTCTATTTAATATTCTAGATCACAATAGTTATGGAAATTCAATTTAGACATGACATTCAAAAAAAATCTATACAGTTACAATTTCAAAGTTCATTCAGAAGACAATTCTTTATTTTATTAATATAGTAACAACAGTAAGATATTCTTATGACTGCGTCAATAAAACACAATTTCAAGATGGTTGATACACGTACTTTATCTGAATCGGCTGAAAAAGAAAAACAAGAAATGGAGCAATTAACAAAACTTATGACAATGAAATCAGCTCAAATAATTGTGCAATCAAGAATGGGTGAAAAATTACATACAAGTTGTTCAAGTCAAAACAGCTCAGTAAGTATTACAATTCAATTTCTTATTTAGGTAGATAACTACGTAGGGACCAGTAGTAGTACTAGGACATAACATTTAACTATATTATTAAAAATAATTAGTCCTTAAATTTTTGGATCTATGTAAAGATAAAAATGTTGTGGTGTAATACAATGATATTACTTATAAAAAGATTTGTGTTAATCTGACTATCTTCCTGCAAAATTTGTATAAGAGATTACTCTTTGAGAAAGTAAAAATAAAATATTTTTACCTTTAAAAGTAGTATAATTAGTAATTCTTAAAATGCTTGGTTCTTTTTTACCTTTTAACCATTAATTTACCATTTTTTGTAATTATATAATAAAAATATTTATTAATCGGTTTTAAAAAAGAAACCTATTTAAAATCTAATAACCTATCATTAGACATTGTTCATAAATAATACATATTAGACTATTTATGAGAGTAATATAATTGAAAATTACTCTACCTTTGTTTTTATGTTGTTTAAACTCTTAAGTAACTATCAAATTTTATTTGTTGTATATATAACTTAGATAACTATTAGAATATCTCACTTTTTGCTGTTAATCATATTATTAATTTTTGGATTTTATTAGATAGTAATTAAAATTATAGATTAATTTTTTTTAATTCTGAATACTTGAGTTATAGGAAAATAATTTAACAATTGAAAATAATAATTTCAATGTGTTATTTTGTATTTTGTTGATTCATTTATGTAATCAGCATATTTAAGCCTTATTAAGCTATTTTATGTATGAAGTATGGAAATTAATTTTATGAAAATAAAATAAAAATTCATCTATTACAATAGGCTATTGCTGCTTAATATCTATGTTCTTAGTACAATATTATTAAAATAATTGTATCAATTCTTTTCTTTAATTCTACCTAGAAAAATCACTATCTTGCCTTTATATTTTTGCTAATGTTAATAATTAAGCAGTATTAAAAATGACTTAATATTAAATACTCATAAACAACAAGTCTAGAGTATTGTATTTTAATATTAATAATTAACTGTTGTTTACCTTATAATTCTAATCTGGTTGTTTTTTTAAGAAGGATAAAAATTATCTTGACTAAAATTTTAAATTAACAGTTTATAACCTTGAATCATATCAACATAATGAGCATCATTGTTTAAAAATATATCCATGCTACATTCATTTATGTTTCAAAATAATGTGGTTCACTATCTATTTTCATAATTAATTATTCAATGTTTTAATTAAACTAAATTTGTATAGATAGTTTCCGTATTTATACATTAATATAACAATAAAGATTCAACAAAAAATAGTTTTCAAAAATTGTTATATTTTTTAATCCCAAGTTTTTTTTATAAGAAACAACTGTTTATGAAATCTTTTTCTGAAACTTTTTTTTGTAGAATTGAGATTTATTTTATTAATTAACTAATGTCCTGAAAAACAATATACCTTTTATACAAGTAATAAATTTTATACATTTTTACTAGATAATATTTAAAATAATTCATTGAGGGGGTCCTTAATTTTAATAAAAATGAAATTAATATTTCAAAATAAATAAAAAAATATTAAAAAATCGTAGAATTAATCTACCCTCATTTGATACTGTATAATATATGTTAGTTTTTATATGCCTTTCATAGGATAATGTTTTTGATTTCTGTTTAATGAGACCTATTTTATAAGTACAGCAGTATTAGTTAAGTAAACTATATTTATATTTAAAATTATAACTATTTAGTTTAGTTAAGATACTATACTGATTCTGTAACATATTATTGAATTAAAAAATCTCTTTTATTTAATAATATTATAGAAATTCAAGCAATTAAAATTTGTTTAATGTAAATCGATAAAATGTTTAAAATAATATAAGTCAGCTAACATCAGAGAAATTTTACAAATATTTCTAGAATGGTAGTGCATTAATTAGCAATTATTTTTTGTTGAGTCAGCAATTTTGTTTAGGAGTGAATCATGACCACCCCCACACAAATACACACACCCGACCTAACATAAATTTAGTATAATAAAAAATGTTTTATTTTTTGTGTTTTCTCAATTTAAATTAGAGCTTTGTAATAATAAATTCAAAATTTTGCTCAATATTTTATACATTATTTTAAAAAAAATTCTTGACAAAAATTTTCAATATCAGTTTTATTTTTATATTTATTTTATAAAATATCCATTTTTATATTTTAGAATGCCAAACAATGTAAATATGTCTTGTCATTTTTATGTGACATATTGTCTAGACAAGTGTTTTGTACAAATCTCTCAGTTGTTTATATTTTCATGCCCTAGTTATTTTTTCAATTTAATTTTTATTTATTTCATTTTCAAAACATTTTATGGGATAGGTTTTTTTCTAAATTGTTTAATATTAATCAGTTTAATTTGTTTATTTAAATAATGCAGACGAACTATTAAACCTATAAAGAAAAGTTTCACGTTAAAACTGTTTATAATTTAATATTTTATTTATTTTTTATTAAACGTAGTTAAAAATGTTGGGTATTAATATGATATAAAAATTTTTTCTTTTGTAATACTGTAAAAAATAACATGCAACAAATGAACAATTATTACTGGTAAAAATTCATTATTTGAATAATTTGCCAGAAAAAAAAACATTTTTATCTTATGTTACCATATAGTCATTATTGTTATTGCATGCCATATATGACATGCAGCATAACTAAAATTTACATAGTGCTAGAATTAATGATCACATTTACAATTTTAATTTTTTCATCCATGTAATCGGTTTCAATTTCTACTTTATAAAGTTTTTCGTGTGTTCCTCTCCACATTCCTAGTATGATCATTCTGACATACTCCATTTATACAGTTATTTCTACATTTGCCTTTTGCAGTTTTAATTCTGTTAAGGGTTGTCTATCAAAAAACTATTTTGTACGCCAAATGATTTCCATAGTTTTTTTCAAGTATCGTCGCTAAGGAATTCCATTAAAAATTTCGTTTCCCATATGAGTTGTCTGAATTTCATCGTCTTTAACGGGTACTCCGTAATATTTTTGAATAAAGAGAAGTTTCGTCTATACTTAATGATGTTTAATATTCTTTAAGTGCACTCATTCCTTTCCAAATGTAGCTCAATTAGAGCTGTTGAGTATGTATAAACTTGGATGTACCTGTAATGATCCGCATAGTTTAATGAAATTGAGTGTCCATTGTTTTGCAACTTTTCACTCAGACGAATGCGCAATACTCTGCTACACAATACTCTAGTGCAATAGCAAAGCTCTTAAAAACATCTGTACTAGCATCATAACTAATTTTAATAATCTTTGTGAGCTTTTGTGTTTTTTCTGTATTTGATTTTGTTTCACGATTTCCAGGTGTTGTTTTGATACGGTACCAAACGATCTGTGTTTCTATATATCACCCATCCGTGCTCTCCTCCCTCTCTTTGTAATAACCCGTAAGACGTACACCCTAACCAAGTCGATCTAACATTGCGAGTCCAATGACAACCTGATAATACCTTAAATTAATTTTAATACTTAAATTTTAAGAACTGCTCTACTTTTGAACATTTAATACCAAGTTTCTCATGATAGCCAATTTCATATTAGCTTGACAAACAAACTAATTCTTAGTCTTTAATAAAAATTAGTGGAAGTAGTTTGGGAAGTCAAGTAATTTTCCAACCGAAATATTTATTAAAAAAATACTGAATAATATCTTTCACATACCTTGTTTAAGAAGAGTTCAAAAATAATAATAATCTTTATAGGAAAAATAAATATTAGCATTAAGATATTCTTAATTAGTGTCAATGTTCTAATATAGGTTTTCCCTGTGTACGTCACTGTATATGCGTATCTGTCATTATTATATCTATTATAAATATAATTATTCTGAGTTTAGGTGTGCCTGTCAAAATTGTTTCTCTAATAACACTCATAAGTTAACAGACTGGTAATTAATGTACCCGGTAGTTAAAAATTATTTCAAGAGATTGTAACATTGAAAAAATATATTTATATCACTATAAAAAAAATACTTCATTCATTATAAAGTTAACTAATTTTAATATCAATAATCAGATTAATCAAATTTATGACTTGACAATTATCCCGTCGAAACAATATATAAATATATAAATAAAGTACTAAGTTGAATATTAAACTAATATTTTGTAAAAAAAAAAACTGTATATTGAAAATAATAAATTTATTAAAACTGGTAAAATACCAAACTATTATTATACTTTTTTTTTTTTTTATTCTTTCAGATGAATGTCGCAATAAAAGAATTTCCAGACGTTATCGCGGAAACAAAATTGGCACTAAGTAATGGTCTTGGCGATTCTGTTCCTTTATGTATTGAAATATTTCTAAAAACTGTCGATGGAGACACAATGACTTTAGAAACATGGAGTATCGGTCTAATACCCGAAAGTGCATTTGACCCTTTTTGCTCACGACATTTAGTTTACACTTTATACAATCGTTTAGGGGTACTACTTAAATCTCTAGTATCAGTGTCTCGAGTGATACCTGCATATCGATACTCTAGACAACAATCGCAAGATTCCTTTCAAATTCATCATAGAATTTACGCAGGAGAACCTGAGGTTCACACTCTTGGTAAGTTTTTTTTGTCATATTATTATTAGTGTTACGGTTTTCTTTTTAATTAGACTTTTTAGACACCATTTTAAATGTTATTACAATATTTGTCAGATTTATAAATATTCTCTGTATTGTTTTTTATTCGGATAATATAATATAGTATTTTGACTTTTATACTATCTATTAGATTACGTTATTACAGATATTATATGTGATAGACTAAATTACTCAAGGGCGCATGCATATTAAAATTGCAGTTTAGTCAAGATATGTTCTTGTAAAAAAACGTTAGTACAGTAGGGTTGCGGCACAGTAATAACGTGGCATAGTTGGATCCTGTATAGATTTAATCAGACTGCGATTAAAATCACTATCATAAGAAACGTTTCGATGCAAATGTAGGTAGTGTTTAATTTTAAGAATTTGGTAGATTATTTCAAAAGCAACAATAACTCTTATTCCCTTATTTTTATCCCGATTAGTTATTTGATTTATAATTATAATATATGAATAAATAATAATTATAGTAATTAAATTTAGTATGAAATTGATATTCAATAATTTAATATTGTAATTTTTACAGACATATTATAAAAATAATAAAGTAGTTGCATATTTCTTTACTTTTAACGCGTATAAAAATTTAAAGAGCTTGATGCAATACTTTTCAATAAAAAAATGTTTGTTACTTATAAGTTTTATACACTGGACTACAAGGAACATTCATCAGAAACAAAAATATACTTTTCTAAATCAACTTTTCTGTTGATTTAAAACTAAAATTAATACCTTCTCAGCCTCACATCAAAGCTAACTAAACTTATTGCGATGTTTTCAAATGTGCAACAAGACTTTTACTCTCACTTCTAAGTTTTAATATTAAAAAATAAGTATTTACATTTGAAAAAATAATTAAAAACAAAAAAAATTGTTTTAAATTAATATTTATTTTGATTATTAATATGTTAAAAATAAGGAAAATTACATATTTAATTAATTTTTTTAATCCTTTAAAGTTGATTTTTGTGAAAGTTTATAGTAAAAAAAATTAATTTATTACTATAACTTTTAGCTCGATTTGCAAGTTTTAAATTGACATAAATAAATAGGAAATTTTATGAGAATTAAAAAAATTTTATCGTAAAGATTAATATGCAATCAGCAATTTTTATAATTACCAATTAATAATATTATTTCTAATTAACTTTTGGTATTTAAAAAGATTCTACAATTGAATTATGCAATTATAATTTTAATTGTCTGCATGGAGAACATGGGATAAGTAACTGTTTAATTGATATATTAGAATTTTTTTTTCAATTTTTGAGGGTAGTATCTTCAACTAATTGTAATCATTTGACGTTACGTCGAATAAAGTAGGTCAAGTTAGAGCAGAGAAAATAAATGATAGTCACAAAAAAATACCTTCTCAGTTTTCCATCGAAGCTAAAACCTAAAATATAGTAAAATAATTTTAATATGAATAAGAAATTTCTTCTCACAAGGGGCGACTACAGTGATGGGATCCTTGATATTTATTGAAGTTATTGAATCTAAATGAGATAAAAATCAAAGGAGTTGAAAATGTATTCTAACTTAAAAGGAATTAAGAAAAAAATGCAAAAAATTCCTTGCCATACGTGGGTTGGAACCTTATGTCGCTTCCGTCGCTTGAAAAAAAATGCCAATTTAAGCTAGTTCAAATTTCAAAGTTATTTTTCTCGACTTAAAAAAAGCAAAACAAATTTAATAAGTATAACTTTCTATGCTATATCAATTTGATTTATATAATATTTATGAAAATCAGTACTCCCCTTGTCAGTTATTTTAAAATAAAATAAAATACAAAACCCAGAATTATAACACAAAAATACGCTATTTTTGAATACGATTGTCATTTTCACCATGAAGACAAGTCCAGCTGTCAATTTTTTTTCCTCAAATTAAAGAATATTACATAAGCTTCAATTTAAGGTATATATACAAGTGTCAGTATTTCCGGAACATTTTCAAAAATTAAGTTGAAAAAGTTGCCATATTGAAACCCTCCCTATGGGCAGTTAAAGGATCAAATGTTCACAAAAATATATCAAATGATAGTGAAATACATAAGGTATCTATAAAAAAAAAGTTTTTATTGATTTGTTCATTTTTTAAAAAGTTATGTCAGTTTTAAGACAAAAAAATTGGAAAATTGTGGAAAGCTACCAATTTTTAAAATTGTAATTTTGGGGATTTCCCTCATCAACGGTGAACGAGGTAATTTTTTTCAATTTTTGAGGGTAATGTCTTCGACTAGATACAATTTGTGATCTTTTGACGTATTTTTCATAAAAATCGGTCCAGTGAGAGCTGAGATTGAGTGGTAACAGACACACACAAAAAAAAAAATAAAAAAAAAACACATCATAGTAAAATGAATACCGACTTAGCTTCGCATCGAAGCTAAAATATTACAGATGTGTGATAGTTGGAAAGAAATACTTTTTTTTGGCAAGTAAAAATAATTATAGAAATATTTTATATATATATATATAATATATACTTTATTCCAAAGGATTAGGAAACTTATTTTCCATAATGCTCATAAAATTTACAATATTCTATCATTAACATCACAAAAAAGCGCCTATGTTTCAATATCACAGTTAGTTTTCATTTATACTATTCGAGGAAATTTATTGGAAATAAATAACTTTTTTACTATACGTTCTTTAAGACATAATTAGTAAGTAAATATTTTAATTATTTGGTACACGATTCACAACTGCCCGCTGTGACCGTCCTTGTTACTTAGTTTCAGTGTCGTAATAAGTTGAAGGTAATAAAATTCAAAAAAATATTCAATTAAAAATTAACAATTCACAATTAATTGCATTATTTAATATGATGGTATAAATAATTTATGTATAATACATTAAAAATTGTTTTCCCTAGCGAATACTGAATAATTATCAAAATAATTTGTATTCTGTTGTCTAAATATTTTTTTTTTTTTTATAGTCAACTTATTATCTTTATTTAATAATCTGTTTTAAAGTTTATATTGAGTCATATGTTATTAAAATCAACGAATACAGATTTTAAGTTGTCATGATTCTCAATTAAATTATATCGTGTTTTTTTACCTTGTGTAGAGTATTAATTATACATACTACACTATTACGTAAACAAATATATGATATATGACACGTATGCACTTCAATGTTAAACAAATAGTAAAGTACGTATATTATCGTAATAATTGAAACTATTTTTTTTTTTTTTTGTAAAGGTTAAAAAATACGTTATAAAATGTTGATCAAAATACAATTGAATAATACAATTCCTGTATCAAAATCACTAATTAGCTTTCGATAACTAAAATCATTTTATCTAAAAAACTATTTTCTAACATAATGAAAATACCTGCAAAAACAATTCTAATTTGGTATCACATTAAATCAAAATAGTCTAAGGAATCGCATTGTATTCATAAATTTTATATTATATGTATAAATTTAAATATAACTATTTGACAGAATTTAACTATTTTCTTATTGGATACTTGTATTTGTATTTTAGACAAAACCATTACAACAGTAGTATATTGTTTTAAAGCATAAGTAAACTATTTTTAAGCATTTTTTAAAAGTTAGTGTTTAACTATGCATTAATATATTTTAATATTATGTAACTTTTTAAATATTATTAAATATAAAATTTAATATGTTAAAAAATTGTTGAAAATGTGTCATCAAAATTGTGTTCTAGTCTTGATTTAAAAAAAACTGATATTCGTATTATTAAAATATAAAACTATTAATAGGAACCTTATAAATTATTAATACTGATAAACTACCGAGTATTAGTGCGACTTCCCTTCCTAAAAACTTGTTTTTTTTATAGATTGATACTGAGTACGTTCACAATATTCATGTAACAAAGTAGTTCTAGCCACAGCATAATAGCAAAACAATATAAATGGTATACGTTAAAATATTAATGTTGAACGTCTTACTGAACTATTCTAGTACATTCCACACATTCTACTCTTTATAACAATTTGTTTGTGTTACTTGCATGCGTTCGAGTTAGCTCTATTTTATAATTGTGTATCATTCATTGATTGACAATTGTATGTAGTATATCAATAAAAAAGTGTGTAACACTTAAATAAATTACCAATAGATAAATAAGAAGTACTTGTAACGTATTTTAAATTTGTGACATTGAATTATTTAAAAAATATATGTACAATAATTGAATGATGTTATGCTAAAAGTAAATTAACACTCCAAAAAAAAAAAAAAAATTTTTAATAACTACATAGTTCTCATTATTAGTATCAAAAAAAGTCAGTTTTATTCTGCATGATGGCATTCAATTATTATATTGCACTGATCATCATATTTTGTTGCTATCATATTTAAGCTAATTTTGTTTGTAATTTTGAACGTTGATTCCTAATCTTACATAAGCTAAAAATTAGGGGTTTAAAAGGCTAAGTGCTCATTAATTATTAAAAAAGAAAAATTTTAATTATGAAAATTAAATTAGATCCCTAAACATAATACTGTTTTAATTTTCTAACTAAACCTACTCACACAGATGTCGTATGTCCAAAAAAAAAAGTGTAAAATATTTAGTATAGCTTCTTTAAGGATTATCTCACAATTATAAATTGATACATATTTTTATAAAATTCTGTGAAAAATTAAAAAATGTAATATTTGTGTTTGTACATAGCTATTAATATTAGAAAAATTATTAATCTGTAAGATAAAGTTTCTTTGTAAACTATTTACCTATATAACAAAACTATTTAAATTGGTACGGTGACTTATTTATAAAAGTAAATTTTAAGTTGAGTTCTGACGTTTCGGACTCAACTGCAAACATGGATATATCCTCCAAGCACTTCAAGCAACAAGACAATCCGTGAAAGCTTTAACACATTCATAGTAAATTTTAAATTTTATTTAAGCAAAAACTCGATTAAAGCTTTACAACAAAATGTCATTTTATAGAATTATAAATATTTTATTTTCTAATCTTAATAAATTAAAAACAAGAGATGAAAGCATCGCGAACAACTTTCTTAATATGTGAAAACATACATGTATCTAGCAACAAATATTTAACGAATAAATAAGTAAAATCAATGTTTTGTCTTTGATTGCAATAAATAATTATAATTATCTGTTTCAATTTCTCATCATTTGATGGTGATATTTTTAATTTTAAAAATCAGTTTTTTGTTCGGAAGTTTTACTTGTTTTAGAGTGTTAGGTACTTTTAATTTTATATAATCATAAAATATTCATATTTATTTATTTCAATATTTATCTAAATCAATAAACATATAGAATAAGTATAAATTAAAATAATAAAAGTATTGACGTACACAGAGGGTATATTTAGTGCGTTCTACTTAACAACCAATATAAACACCTGTTGGGATTGCAGCGTTAAGCAAAAAAAAAGGTGACACTTGAAAATTTTCACTCTTCAAACGGAAATGTCTCGACGCCGCATAAAATGTTTTCACATCAAAATAATTTTATTCAATGAACCCTAATGTGTTTAATTATTTTAATTGTGAGACAGTAATATTTTTCTTATACACATTTGGTAGATTTTTACGATTAATTGTTATTTCATAACCATAACCTCTAAAGAAAGAATAAATTATTGGACTACATTTCAAGTTGTAAATTGCTATGTCATTTTATTTAATACATCATTAAAAATATAAATTCTAAACAAAATTTTTCCTCATAATTTTTCAAACTTCATTATAAAAAAATTTACGTAATAAAATTACGTATATTGTGTGTGATTCTTAAGCTGTAAAATAAAACTATTTTTTTTACTTTTTCCATGTTAAGATAAAAACAATTTTACTATAAAATATTATTTTAAACTTTAAATTATTAAAATAATTATAATAGTGAAATTATACATTTCTTAATACTCAATAATTAAGTTCTCAACAATTATTATTGTTTATTTAATTATCAAGTTATCTACAATAATTATTTATAAGTTTATAAAAAAAAAATACTTACAAATATATTTTATTAATTTAACATTTCATAAAATAGATAATTAATAACCCTTTATGAAAAATACACATACACACCTATTTACATAAATTGTTTTAGTTATCTTCGAGTTAACCATTTTTTTCTTAGTTTTTGAGGTTAAAAACTTTTTAAATAAATTTTAATTTTAATGGAATTCTAAATAATCACTTTTACTTTTTAATACTTTTAAAACTCATACTTATCAAAAAATTCAAAATAGTGTTCATTCATTTAGCAGACCCTATATTTATTTTTTTTTCAAATAAAAACTATAGAAAAATTATTGTACAAATTAAAAGTCTTTAGTTTTAAAAACTATTGTTCATAATTTGCAGTTTTTAAAGACCTAATTATTTTATCATTTATATTATTACTTAATTAAATTTTAATCCTATTTGGAAAATATTATTTATGTGTAAATTTTATCAGTTTTAACTATTTGCTTCCTTATCTCAAAATATATGAAAATATTTTCAAATAATTGAATAGTATATTCTATTCATAATAAACTGTTATGAAATTTGCATTGTACTTTGAGAATTGTTTCACTATTAAAATGTTTTGAATCGATAACAAAAAATTACCCTATTTGAAATATTAATCAAATACTAATATGTATCATTGTCGTGTATTATGTATAATTTTATTAATTAAATTAATTAAATTAATAATTAGTATAAAACATGATTTTATATTACATAATTGGGATTTTTTAACAACTAAATTTAACAACTGAAATTACAATAGCGAGTATATTTTTTAGTATAATTCTTTTTTTTATAAGCATAAATCACGTTATTGTTATGCCCTATAATATAACATTAATAAATGTTTCAATGTCACGACTATGTATCCAATTTGTTGCAAATAAATTTGTTTTTCGAAGTTTTAAAAAGGACATATTACACAACAACTCAGGCTCTGGCGATTAAATTGCATTGTTATTTTATAGGCTTATAGTATATAAATATATATACCCAAGTAGCCTTGTATTAATTTTCTTATTTTGCATTTTACTTAATATTTTTATGTTTATATGATTAAACTATTGGAATATTATAATATTTGAATCTTTCAAGGCTAATTTTATCCTAATAATATACAAATTGTCTTTTGCACAAATAATTTTAATTATTAAATTTGTTTAAATTATTTTTACAATAATTAAAATGGTTTATTGATTTAGGAAAAGAATATAAAGAATTACAAATTGGTCAAGTATCCATGCCTATTGGTACTATTCATGTAACAGTTTGTTATCGTACATCTATGACTTTGACATCGCAACAAGATCCTATAATGCTTAAAAGTGATCACTTCCGTAAAGAGTATAGTCCAAGGCACAATCAAATCAAAACACCTATGTAAGCATTTTTAGCTTTAATATCTAACTTGAAAAATTAAAAAAAAAATTAATTTCCAGTATTGAATCAACCAGAAAAGCTTATATAATGGATGACTGGACTGTTGGAGCATTTTCTGAAAGTTTAGAAGAAAAAGTGAAAAAATTAAATTTATATCGTATCCCAGAACTTCCAAGAGATAATTTTATAAAACCAAGAAAACAGGCAGAGTTTTGGCCACCACATATGGTTCCTAGTAGTCAATTAGCTAAAACTCAGGAGGATTCATTTAGTGATAATAATACTACAGTTATTAAATCTCTGAACAACAATATTTTGCCTTCAAATATTACTGAAAATTCTAGTACAAGACATGAAGTTAACAATAAAGTTATATTATCAGAATTGGAAACTAAAAATCAAGTCAATCAGTCGATGAATACATCTAGTAATGAGGCCATCAATGATTTTATTTTGGTAGAATTGGTAATTTAAATAATAACTAACATACTTTAAGATTATTTTTCCTATTAACCATTAATTTTATTTATGATGAGTCAACATTTCCTTGCATATGAAATAAATCTTAGACCACCACATTTTTATTTTGATATATATATATATTTTTTTTTTTCAAAATTTTTTGATGTGAAAAAGTTTAGCTTTATTATATTCATGTACTATAGTGATTATCCTTGATTATGTAACTTATAAAGATGGTTTCATAAAATACTCGTTTGAAACTTTCATTAAAAAAATAGTTTTAGTTATAAATCTTAAAATTAAAAAAATATTTTATGTAATAAACAAGAAAACCTTTCATGAAATCAGTCTTCAAAAAAAAAATTTTTGAAAATAGAAGCAATTGAATGGTATTTGATATGATTAAAATGATCGATCAAAAATAGCATATATACTATCTTGCAAATCATTTTATAAATATATAATGAAACTCTACATATAAAATATTTATCCAAATTTTTTTTTTGACATTATGCGTGGTTACAAGTTTATGTAAAAAAATTTTTGAATTATTTTTCGATTCATAGATATTTTTGGAAAATTTTTAATTGTTTGGAAAAAAAATTAAGATCGTAGGTCAAAAGTAATTTCATATATTTAGAACATGTTGACTCATCTCATATTAAACCCTAAGTTAAAGAAAAAAAAAAATTTAAACCAGTAGAAAGATTTTACCATCTGATTTAATGTAATTGTTTTATAATTAGGGTCAATCAGTTAAACTTCAATCACCAGAAGATTTTTGTCGTAGAAGAAGTTATGATATCAATCCTTTGCAATTTAAACCAGCTGCCTTTTCTGACTCAAACCCTAACATCGAATTGGCCATGTTCTATCAAAAATTTCTTGGTGCACCTACACTCAAATTACGCTCAGATCATTTAAATATCAATAATCACTTATCTGAAATAGCTGAACAGATAAAAAGTTTTAATGAGCGAATGGAAGAGTTTGACAGGGTAGTTTTAGACTTATGTCGTACAGATGATGACAGTGAATAGTCTATATTAAAATATCTCTTACTGCTATTTTACAAGACTGATTGCCAGGACGAGTAAAAGCTCAATTATATTTGACATTTTTTTTTCTTTTTTAAGTAGAAATATTTATTTTAATATGTATTATTTAAAATAAAGAAAAAGAAAAAAATTGGAACAAGACATTTATATAAAGTGTATATTTTTAAATATGTGACTGATTGATTATAAATTATTTGTTTCTATGTATATGTATACTGTTTATATATGATCCTTTTATAAGGAGGTCTTTGAAACCCATATAATTGGATCCAACAGTTCCTTCTTTTGTTATAATATTGTGTAGCAAATAAATAAAATTGTTTGCATTTATATTTAATGCAATTAAGTTTTAATTCTTTATTTATTCTGTTTATTTTTATTATTGATTTTTAAGTTACCTTAATTAGAAAATGTATAAAATAATAATAACATATTTTATTATTGAGATTTAAGTTAATAAATAGAAACATACTGTTTTAATTTAAATTTAAGATTTTGTTACGTTATAATTTTATAATGTTGTTTCAGGTAAAATCTTAACAATGATGCCACTTATTTTATTTAAATCCAAAATATTTGGATTGTTTTTTATTACTAATGAAGTACAATATATCACGGATTTTTTCAGTTACAATTTTTAAGTATCAAGTGTAATATATTTATATTTAGATACAAAAAAAATATCAGTCATAATTCTCGCATTAATTTGTTTTTTAATATGTATCTGTTATATTGCATTTTTACAAACCAATTATTTTTATTTCAACGAATACTAATAAATATTAAACTTAATTTTAATTTATCATTAATATTATTACTATTATTAATTATTAATTTTTTTTCTAAAAAATTATACTTATTTTCATTTTTTCATTATCATACTCAATATTAAAAACTAATAATTAAAAAGGTTTAATTGAAAACCATTAAAATGAAATTTATTTTTTAAATTGTAAAAGTATTTTTGCAGTTGATAACAGTTTTTATGTTATATGTTTTATGTATTGATCATTGTTTCATTTATTCACTAATTTTTATTAAAAGAATTCAATGGTATCTTAAAGAATTAACATTATTTCACAATTATTTATTCAGAAGCAAAACTTTTTATTGTTTAATAGCTATTTTTATTAGGCATCAAAAGTACTGTTTTAATTTTAATAGTTAAATTTTTTTTTATTAATTTATATAATGGAATCTGTGATGTTATATTTTAATTAAACTAAATCGCTAAAACTTACATAACTCGTTTTATTTTTTTTTTCTAAGTTAATTTTAATTTTGCAGTAGTGTAATATTTTCATCTCTAATAAATGCTATTGAAGTAACTAATTGTAGTGATCCTATTAACTATGATTCACTTAATAATACGAATATAGATATGTTATCAGGAAGAATATTAAGTAAATGGTGGATAGCTGTTAATAGATATATACTATTATATTCCATACATATTTACTATCGTATATTGTTGAACTACTAGTTTGGAAAAATTTTCTTGATAACTAACACAAATAATTTATGAGCCATTAAAATATAATAGTTGCCTCTAATGTTCTACTTCTTCTGCAGTATTTAATCTAATGATTGGTTTGCAGCTACTTCCACGTTTCTCTATCATTAGCTTCCCTATCCAACTCTTGATATAAATTACATCCCTGATCTTAAATTATCTAATTTATGTATTGCAATCTTTGTCGTCCTCTATGATTTTTTCCATCGATTATTCTTTCTAAGATTAATAATAACAACCCGTCGTGTCTTAAAGTATGACTTATTAATTATAATCGGATTACAAGTTTTATGATTAATAAGTGAAATATATGACTATATATATACATATTTATAATATATAAAGGGAAATGGTCCAATTTAAAAAAAAAGTATATCAAATGAAAGAGGTATATAAATATTATTTCTCATAAAAAAATTGTATTGATTCATACATTTTTCAAAAAGTTATAGTATTATAAAGTTAAAAATGTAAAATATAAATTCAAGAATTTTAACACAAAAATAGTATACGGTAGCAATTTTCATCGTAAAGACAAAATAAATTCCAAAATTTTATTTTTCTATAATAAAGTCAGATTAAAATACCTTCTCAGCTTCGCATCGAAGCTAAAATATATATGTACCAAATAATAGGTTTAACACAAAGTAAATTTATACATAAACTACCCAACCAAACCAAACTTATTCCATTGGTATATACAATAAAGTAATCTTTGTTTCTTTATAATTATGTGTACATACATTTTATTTTTAGCTAATAATTACAAATTGGAGTTTTTTTTATGAATATTTCAAATATCTTTTAATAATTAATTTTATCAGACTTATTTATTTATATTTGTTAGTTGGTTGAAAATAAATAAATTTCATAGATACCTTATGTATTTTTACTAATCAAGTGATTTCCGCTCTACTATAAAATCAACTATGACTGTAATAAATAATAGATAAGATAAAAATATTATTTATTGTGCTTTAATACTTCAAAATAAATGGCAAATTTTATAAAACGCTATTGCAGAAATTTGAAGAAAAAGCTTGGCTTCAAAAAAAAGAAGAAAGGTAACTAAGTATATTTGAACGTTTGTTAAATTGATAATCTTTTATGAATAATTAGTTTTCTAAAAAAGATAGCATACTTAATTTTTTTGACAATACTTTATTTAGCCACCTTGATAGATTGTGAATCACAGACAATTATATCGACAGAAGATATTACTTCTCAAAGCTCAATATTGTCCTCTGAGATATATATTCAGACCAACACTGAAGCTCAGTTTATTGTGTCTGAAACGCAAACGGACGAATCATCATTTAATTCAACTATAAATTACAATAAACCTATTGCTTTAACAGGTAATGATTAAAATTTCATTTTTTTAAATACTTACAATTTTACTAGATTATTAACAAATTAAAACTTATTTTATATTTTATTTATATAAATCGTATTAAAATAATTTTTATAATATTATTTTTCAGTACATTATTACTCAAATTTAAATAAACTAGAGGGATCAACTCAAGTTATATCATCAAATTTAAATAAACAAGTTATTCACGTTGAGGGACTCAATCATGCTAACACTGTTGTTGAATTAAATGAGTCAGATACACAAATTTTAATTGATGTTCATACAAAGACTTCTACACAGAAGTCTGTATCATCTGGCGAGCAATATACACAGATCAACTCTATTGCTGAAGTAATTGAGTCTGTTACGCAAACTGATGAATCAACTCTAAATGTCGTTTATATAGAGACTGCTACACAGAGCTCTGTTATATCATGTGAGCAATGTACACAGATAAACTCTGTTGCTGAGGGAATTGAGTCTGAAACGCAAACGGATGAATTGACTTTAAATGACGTTTATACAGAGACTTCTACACAAAGCTCTGTATTATCATGTGAGCAATGTGCAGAGATCATTCCGTTGCTGAGGGAATTGAGTCTGTTACGCAAACGGATGAATCAACCCTAAATGTCGTTTATACAGAGACTGATACTCTGTTATACCATGCGAACAATTTACATAAAACCAACACATTAGCTAAATTTAAACATTTCTGAAAGGCGAAGTGGAAACTTATTATAATAATCAAGTTTATAGATTAAAAATTTAAACTCTGCAGTGGTATTTACCTGAAAGAAAGCTAATAATTAATCTAGATTACGCTTTCAAAGTGCTTTGCTTTTCAAAAGATTATGTTTAAATAGCAAATGTTAATAATGAGCATAAAATGAGTATTTTAAAAAATAGAATGAACCTGTTTTACTTTCTAAACGATACAGATATACAGTTCTATAAATCACATAATAATGAGCTTTGTGCCATTAAATATAGCAATTATTAACATATAATTAAAAGAGTTTCAAAATTATGAACTTTTATGGTTCAAAAGTAGTTAATTAATTATTATAAGTATAAAGGAAACATGCACCCCTGGAAATAAAATGCTTTATATTAAGTGACCTATTTATTAATTTATTTTTAATTTAACTTAACAAAAAATGTTTTATTTATTTATAAACATTTAACGGGCATTAGCCCTTTTATATATATATACAAATTATAAGACATATTGACAAATTACATAATGACAGACAAACAGTAATCAATAAGAATAAGAACATATTAAAACTATTTATAAAACACCAAAAATACAATGTATGAGAATAACATTAAATAACTAAGAATAAATAAATTAATTAATAAGTTATTTGATTTATAATTATAGTAATTAAATTTAGTTTAAATTGAAAAAAAATTCTAATATATCAATTAAACAGTTACTTATCCCATTTTCTCCATACAGACAATTAAAATCATTCATTTCTAATATTTTCAAAGTATTTATTGACGAATCAAGTTTGATATGATAGTTTTCAACTACAAAATTAAATCATTTTTACTACTAGACTATAATATTACAAATTTTTTAGTAACATGTTGCTATATAAACCTATTCTAAAAAAATTGATTTTTAGTTTCTCCTGAATTAACAATAGATTTTAAGATCTTTTTAACAACTTTTTTTTGATTAAATATTTTAGTTAAAATGAATCATTAATATTAATTCAGTTCATATTTCAATTGTAGGATTAATTATAATAAAAATGCAAAAAAATATTGAGCTACTCTGATAAATTTACTATAAATAGTAATTATAAAATTTGCTGACTGCATATTAATCTTAACGATACAATTTTTTTAATTCTCATAAAATTTTCTATTTAATGATGTCAATTTCAAACTTGCAAATTGAGCTAAAAGTTATGGTAATAAATTAATTTTTTTTACTATAAACTTTCGCAATAATCAACTTTAAAGGATTAAAACATAGGTTAAATATGTCATTTTACTTATTTTTAACATGTAGTGACTATGGAATGATCGAGAATCTTCGCGATGGATAGGCAACACAAAATGCATATAGCGCGAATATTCTCGATCACTCCGTAAGAGAATCTTCTAGAACTCAACACAATATAAAACGGCGTGACGTAACTATAACGTCAATCAGATAGCTAAATTTTTTTTATTTTGTTTATTTTAAAATACTTTATAAGGGTTAATCATAATAATTAATCCACCAATTTTTATATAACTTACATTAAATATAAATTTAGTCTTATTTTGATTATTTTTCTACCTCAAAGTGAAGAAAAGCAACTTTGAATTTATGATTTCGTTTAAATAGTTCTTTTTATTATTGCAGTGATATAGTGTACGGTGATTGCGTCGTAAATTTTACAGTCTTACACGCTCGGGGTACGAAGTTCGTACTCTGACAGTTTTATTGACTCTTTTTGCATTTTTTTCTTAATTCTTTTTTGAGGT